TAACGGAAAATGCTTTCCTTAGAGACTTTGGAGTTTATTCATATAATTCATAATAATTCAAGAAGGAATGCTATTTCTGGAAATATTCTCATATGTATGTCTGCATTTCCAGAATAATGTGTAAGTCTAACTTATCATCTACTGTAACCACTCTTGGATTTTGGTAAAGAACTTGCGGGGTGAACAGATAACTTGAAGGAAGGCCATCAAAAAGTCAGCCTCATTTTCTCTTTATAAAATATCTTTAAAAAAAAATAGCCTAATTAGAAAAGGTTCAGAAAGCTTATGGAATTTAGCACTCAAATGCATTTTAAAACAGGCAAACTCATTTGAGTGTAGAACATATGAATAGAACTTGAGGGGTAGATGCATCTTCAATTATAGGCTAATGAAAAGTGGTTTGTTTCAGATTATTGAATTAGATCATTGTGATTTCTTAAATGAGGAGCATTCCTCTACCTCTTCTTGATTTCTTTCACTACCTTGTACACAAACGCAGCAGTACTAACTGATTCAAAGCTCCTGGATCATTATTCATATTTGAACATTCTACTTTCTGCGATCAATAAAAAATAGATTTTAGCTACATTGATAACTACTCAGAGCATTTCCATGAAAATATAGCTATTTTAGGAGTCCTGGTGGTGGTGTAGTGCTTATACATTGGCCTACTAACTGCAAGGCTAGCAGTTCTAAACCACCAGTCAGTCTGTGGGCTTTCTACTTGTAAAGAGTCAGTCTTGGAAACCCACAGTCTTGGAAATCCACAGAGACACTCTGTCCTACAGAACTGGCACTGACTTGATGACAGTCAGGGGTTTTTCTTGGTTTGGTTTTGTGCATTTTTTGTTTGTTTATAGTTATTTTAAAGGCTTGATTCTAAAAGCTTTCCTTAGATAAAATCTTTTGAAAAAGCTTCAAAGTGTTTGCTCATTTAGAAATAGTTATTTGAAATATTGTGGGTGAGAGTTTTATTTATACTTTTATTACAAATTCCAACTGCTAAGAGCAATGATACATAATCATTTTAATTAAAGTTTACTAATGGGAAACTAATGGCAGCTTTCAAAGTAACAGGAGGTGATGGGGAAGAACCATTTACTATCATGTGAAAAAAGCAATTATGACTTTTAAATAAAGGGTGATTGCAAATGAAAGAAAAAGGGCTTTCTTTCTTGCTCTTATATGAATCCAGAAATTACTGCTGCCGCTCAGTCAGTGGGAAACACCAATACCCAGTAAGGTTTTCTTTCTTTCTTTTTTTTTTTTGTCCTTATAATAATGATCAGTTATTTGTAGATATTTTTCCTTCAGAATTTCTCATATACATGTGAATCCATGTGTAATTTGTTTTCTAGCAAATATACACATTGCAAAGAATATATCCACAGATAATAGACAGTATTTTTACCGTTTCGGTATTTGTTTTCCAGTCTCTATCATGAACGTCACATGGGAAATATATGGGGAAACGGCACCTTGTCCTGCTCTCATTATACCAGACCGCAGGGACAGTTTCCCCTGCGATGAAAGAGAAAATATTCCACAGGTATTAAAGTGTGTTCCATGTTTATATAGATTGGGAAAATGTCAGGGCAAAGAAAGTGAGATAGATGTCTCTTTAACTGGATTTCTCAGAGCCTTTAATAAGTAATGTGCAATTATCAATAACTTTTAAAAAGCGTACCTATTAAACACTTGTAATAATCAGCCACACAAAGCACTTTGAGAAATGTTTGGGTCCATTCTTTTTTTTTTTTTGTACTTTTTTTAATAAATCATTTTAGTGAGGGGCTTACAGCTCTTATAATAGTCCATACATCAATTGTATCAAGCACATTTGTACATATGTTGGCCTCATCATTTTCAGAACATTTTCTAATTAAACCCGTAGTATCAGCACCCCTTTTT